CTATGCATCTCACAGGCTCTTGTGAGGATCAGATGAGGATAAAAGAAAATAATTAACCTGTTTGACAAATATAAATATTCTCATCATATACTTCATAGAGGATACACATAAAACATGTTATTTTTTTACAAGCTGAAAATATTTGGAAATTCATCCCAAACACATGATTGTCATAATGGAGGATAATCACACTTCCCCACAAGATTGTTGGAAGGCATGGGTCTATGGTATTGCTTAGTCTCCTATGTATTCCCCTTTAGGCTAGGATCCCCCCCCCAAGGAAAAAAACACTGTCTCTGTTCTCTTAAGCTCTCACGACACACAGAGAGAGCTCAGGACTGGAGGTTGATTACTGACTGGCAGAGAAAACCACAGGCAGTTCCTGTCTAATAGGTTATTAAAGCCTACTTAATATTTTATAGTATATGGATTTAATGATATTTTCCTTTCAATAATTAAATCCAACCATTGGGTATTTTATATAGTATAGTCACCATAAACATTAAAATAATATGGAAGTAGCAGAACTAATAGTCCTGAATCTGCTGCAAATGCAAAAGATTAATCTAAGTAACCAAGAAACGGATTTGCCAAGGTAACACATGATAATTGACAGGAATCCTAAGTACAATTCATAACGCCTTTATCTTAATGCAGATTACACTGGCAAGGTTAGAAGGTTGGAGAACAAATGGAGAACAAATTTAATTTACCTACTGCTATCAGTACAGCTTTTCATCTATTCCAGGACTATTTTTCTCAGCCTGTTTCCCAATGAAATATTTGTGATTTTTTTTTTAAGTTCAGCAGTCCACCTGGATGGGCCAGTCATCTCTATTTTTACAGAATAAATTTTGCAATATATATGAATGTAAGACCTGCTGTTGAATGTTAGGCTGCGAGGACCCCAAGTTCAGGTCAGAAACAAGGGACAGAGAACAGAGGCCTACTTGAAATCAAGCTTCTATTCTCCTGGGAACCACATGGATCCTAGCAACACTTAACAAAGGGCTATAGAAAAAGTGATAGAGGATTCTGGACCATAAACCATTTTTCTACCTCTGGGCTGTATATATTTAGACATTTCACTGTCCTGAATTAACATTGTTTACCATGCCTCTGCATTATGATCCTATCAGGACAAATTGCAAATACTGGGATTTTTATATTTCTGGAGGATTTTAGATTATATAATGTGTTTGTTATTAGATCATCTGGTTTCAAGATACTCCAGAGACAGAAAAGGCTGACCTGCAGGAAAGAGGCTGAAACAAAGGCCAAGGTCAGGCAGTCAGAGCATTGCAAGGAGACAAGAACCCAAGTAGGATAACTCTTTACAAATGATACTTTGCCAATCCAGTTAGCCTGAACCAACATCCTAGTGTGTATTCAGGTGAACTCTACATGAAGAAGGGAGTGATTGGGTGTTGACACATTATTCAAAATCCCTCCATCACTCATATTTTAAACAGCTTATATCATCTAGTAGTCTTATCAGCATATATAATTTATAAGGAAAAATACAGAATCTGGAAGATTGACTAACAAAAACATTGTATCTGCCTATGGTTACAAAGAAGGGGAATATGAAAACAGTAACAGTCAGGAAGAGCCACAAACCTCTAGAGCCCATAAAAAACTCTAAGAAGATTTTTAATAAATGAAAGTGGATGCCAATACCAATTATCAGAGGAAGAGGAAACTGAAAGGGGAATAGCTATCTGCACAGGGGGATAACTAAAGTTGGAATTTCTTGTATCAATGCCACTTGTCTGATCTTCTGACTTGTTAATGTGACCTAACACACTGGTTGAGAAACTCTTCTCTAGTCTCTTTTTTTAAACTGCTCAGCAAAGAACACAATGCTTTTTGAGAGACCTGAAATATCAATCTTTGTGCAATACAACCTTCATATCAAATTTTCAATCACGAAAAAGTGAAGCATTTCAAACTCTCCTGAACTATGGGATATCTAGTATGAACATGTTACACTTCATATTTAGATGATGCAATTCTCCAAGTCAAGAAACCCAGCTTAAGTAAGGAGGCACTTCATGAACACAAAGCCTCATTTTTTCTCTTTTGCACAGAAGAGAGGACAAAAATTTAATGCTAAATGGAAATGGAGCACCCTTATGCCTCTTACAGCTCCTTAGTAGCAAAGGACTTAAGACTCAGAACCCAAGAGCCCAGTTCCAGGGCATAACAGCTAGGGAGTTACCGAGATCCATAAAGATTAGATGACAGACACACACAAGACCAAGCAGGCACTTCCAAGAACAGCCATTTGAGACAGAGACTGCACCTCAGCCCTGTTTTCACCCTTTTTAGGGCATATCTATGTCACTATTCAATAAGAGAAAACTTGAGTTCTAAGGGACTAAATGAACACACAGAATTCTCTCCTCATCGTCAAGCCAATGAGTTTTTCTGAGTGATAAAGACATATTCCTTCTATAGTTTCCTTCTCAATTGCTGTGATGTCAGCAGATTTTATGGGAGGAGGGATGGGGGAATGGACAGGCTCACTACCCAGAGCAATATTTGGATGCAATTATGAGACTCCACTGGCACTACTTTAAGTTCTGCAAGTTGAAGCAAGTTGCCCTGTTCTTAGACAAGGGATTAACTAAACCAATTTCATTTAAATCAATTTGCACTGTTCAGATGATATGCTTATGAAGCAACCAAGTCACTGATTTGCAACAGTATTTCCTGGAGGTGGCCTTACAAGGTACAACATGCTAAATGAGAATTTTAGCAGTCTTGAGAGTAAACAGAAGAAACATGACAAGCCCTTTACATACCTAGCCCTCTGCCCCTACCCTGCACAGCACTTCCCCGTCCTAATGCTGGAGCTACAAGTATGAAATCTAGCCTGGAATGAGCTGAGAGCAAAATACTGGGCCAAATACTTAGTCCAGTCAACAGAGGACCCTGCACATCATAGGTGCTTAATAAATATTGTTGACTCACTGCTGCCAGATGCTAATCATGTTAATATAGCAAAGTCTAAAATTATTTATGCCACTTTTCATTAGAAATTAGCTAACTGCCCCCATATGGGCTAAAAATGGGTGAGGTTGTTTTTGAATGAGTCTGACTCAGATTGTTGTTTAGAGTACATTATATGTGATGCAAGACTCGACTTAAAATCATCACCATTACTCTGTATGCCTACTTGTATGTATGTTTTCATACAGTTGTACATTCACTGGGGAAAAACAGACTTAGTACCTAAGTACAATGATAGACTTGAATCCCAGGGAACTAATAATGGCAAATTAATATTTTGGTAAACTAGGGTCCCTACTTATACCCAGTCAGTCCACTAACCCCATAAAAGGTAAATGAAGTGCTTTCTTTGAGAAGTAGAATACTGAGGATTTATAGAATCCTTTCATCTTCAAAGGACCAAGCCAAGACTCACAATACCCAGTACACAATATTGTGCCTTTTATACAAGTAACCAACTATGAAAGAAAGGTCATAGGAATGTCCTAAGGCCATAAAGCCAATGCAACATCAGATTTGGGATGAACTCTCTGATCTTCTTGGCTCCTAGACCTGTATTTCAACCACATAAATCAAGTTGTGAGGAACAATCAGGAGAAATCTAATTCACATTATATATCTGTATTAAGTTAATTGGGCAGGAATATATAAAAATAGCAAAGACTGTCCCTCCCTCAGGGCAGTGTGAGTGTACAAGCGATAGAGGGGTGTATGGGGGTAATCATCTGGGATAAAGCAAAACTACTCCCAAACAGAAGAGAAGTAGAGGAGGGGGACTCCAAAATTGGCAACCCCCTTTTATTGGAACATTGCCAGAGAGACTGATTGGAGTACAGGGATGTAAAAGAATGAGGTTAAAGGCTCAACTTAAGAATCACATGTATTAATCCCCATAGTGTACTTATCTATTTGCTGCTTTCAAGATATTCTTTCATAAGGGTTCCTCTTCAAAGACATGCAACCATAACCATCCACCCATCCCACAATCAGAAATCCTCAAAAAAAGGCAACGTGGTTGAGAAACAAGAAGCCGTATGGCTGGGAGTGCACAGGATGATGGAGAAAAGCTGGGGATGAGGGGCTCTGGTGGGAGGTTTGAGTGAGTAAGTAGGTGTTGCAAGGCAGGAATAAAGTGAGTGATCTTGAAAATGGGTGGGGGAGACAGAGAGGGACAGGAAGAAGAAGCGGAAGAAGGAGAGATAGGAAAAGGAGAGAGTGGGGAGGAAGAAGAGAAGAGGAGAGGAGAGGGGAGAGGGGGGAGAGAGAGAAAGAGAGAGGAAAGCCCAATGAACCCAGGACCCTCAATTTGTTGCTCTAAGAAGAAATGCCTCTGAAAATAGTGTGTTGCACACTAAGTGCTAAACCGGACCATCACCAGTAATGTTTCTGTAAATCTACTCTGCCGTTATTTACTTAATTCTCACGAGCCAGAAATGGAAATCCCCACCTTCCCCCGGTTCAGTCGCAGTCTGTCCTGTGGACATATGTAAGTTTTCCCTCTCCCCCACAGAGCTGGTTTCACAGCTAGGCCAGAAATAAGGAACCACCCAGACGGAGACTCGAGGATCGCTCCCCTGGCTAGAAAAGGATTAAGTTTCGCCAGGCCTCCCCGCCGAGAGGGTGTCCGCAGCATCACAGGCTGCTGCGCCAGCACCGCTGGTCAGACGGCCGACCCAGGGGCGCCGCCCGGGCTGAAGAGGCTACTGGCCGCGAGAGCGTGGGAAGGCAGCAGTGCCCTTTCCCAGACTCACGCCCAGGCGCCGGGGAGAGCAGCTCAACTGCTCTGCCCCGCACCACCCGGCCCCGGGGAGGCCTCCAGCCACCCCCGCCCGGCACCCAGGAGTGCTAACACCGTCCCAGGAGGGCAGCGGCAGGAGCCAGAGACAGGCCAGGGTCCCTGTTGCTGCCGGCCCCGGCTTCATGGGCCCCGTCACCCCTTTCTGCTGACCCGGGAGACCTTGCCCAGCTCCGGGCCCCAGTGGCACCTGAGGAGTAGCCGGAACCCGGGCCGAGCCCTGCGCGGACGGCTACACTGGACCCCCAGGGCCGCGGCGAGGGGGCGCATTTTACCCATAGCGTTCCCGTGTGCCAGCCATCTCCTACGCGCGCTCAAGAGCGCTGGGCGCCCGCCTGCCTCCGCAGCAAGCTGGCTCGGGCTCTGGCGCGAGCTCCCGGGCCGCCGCCGCTGCCGCCGACACCACCACTCTAGGCCGCCTTCGCCTTCGCCTTCGCTGCCTCCGCTCAGCTGCCGCCGCCGCGCAGCCAGCAGAATCCGCCAGCCTGCGCGCTCCGCAGGGGACTGCACGGCAATAGTGACGCTACCGCGGCTGGATCTCCCGGGCTAAACTTAAGAGTTTTCGCCCCTCAGTCCAGGGGCAGCACCATGACACTACAGCAGCACCACTGTCATTTCCGCCGCCGCAGAGGGAAAAAAAAAAAAGGCAATCCCTTCGAAAAGGGGGGTGGAGTGGGAGCATACAGGGCTGAGGTTGACACCCCAAGGGAGCACTGGGAGGGGCCCCGGCAGAAGGGGCGCTGGGCCACCTTCCTGGGCTCACCTTCCACCGCCACCGCCACTCCCAGCTCCCCCAGCCCCTCCTCTTGAGACGCGTTTACATGTTTTCTCCCCTGGCAGGAGTGACCGGAGAAACCTGAGCAAGCAAAGACAGAGGGTGAGTGGGGTTCGGGTTACTACTGTACCTACCAGCTGATTCCAGCAGCCTTTTCTCCAGCGCCCTGTCATCTTGAACGGAGACACACGGAGAGGGGCCCGAGCGGGCGTGTGTGTGTGTGTGTGTGTGTGTGTGTGTGTGTGTGTG